CCTGTTTCGATTTGTGCTTAGAAGCTTCGATGGTTGTGTCCTGTATAGCTCCGACATGTTTGGAGTGCTGGATGTAGTTCCTTTTTGTATCTTCGTGAGACCGATGCGAGCTATCTGTGGCGTTCTCGATTTCTTTGTCGGTGATCCTCTGTCGTTGAAGAACACCTGAGGAAAGGCTTTGGCAGAGAACAATGCACTTGTTGGTCTTGTCGTTGAGATGGACAAAGACATCAGGTTCCGACAGGGACCTTGTTGTTCTCTCGACGTATTAGATGAGAAATAGGTGAATCATCCTGGTTTCGTCTCACCAGCGGTAGCTCCGGAATCGGTTCACAGTTCTGTAGAAATTGCTCAAAATCTTCGTACGACAGCTACGTCAGGTGGACATCGTGGGTTTCACTCTCCTTCGTCAAGACCCATCTACACTCCTCTCACATCCGACTATTCCATGAATAAGGAGCAGAATTGAGCGATTTTCATAATAGGACTTCACTTGGACATTCGGGAAAGCCTACCTCACGAGCACAATGGGCATTGATCTTTGCGCATACAAGAGTGTAACAGTCATGAATATGAATCGAGGACACCCTTTGTTGAGGAAATATGGAACCCGGTTTTTAGATACGCAATCAAGGGAGCCAAGCAGAACACTTGTAAATTCACACCTCGATATCCGAGGCAGACCTGTTAGAGGAGATTATGACCAGCTCTCATCATTCATTACCACGTTGACTTCTTTTTGCCAAATCGTAAAACGCCCATGACTCTCCCAGAGAGAACCCACTGTGTGCCAACTCAGGCGACTCCTCAGTAAGGCACACACTTCCGCATGGCAGACCCAGAAAACAAGGCCGATCAAGCCTTTCCCGCCCATCCTATGCACACACCCACTCGTTCACTTAACCACTCTCGCAAGGAAAAGGGGAGGGGGGGGGTATCATATAACACACAATGCGCGCAAAAGACGCACGCCCATTGCCCAAAACAAACCGCACAGCCGTCTAAACCCAGTACCCCCCAGCCTCCGCCTGCGTCCTCTGCCACCTCTGCGCCTCAGCGAGCCTCTTCTCGAGCTCCTCATTCTCCCGCGCCAGGTGCTCGTTCTTCTTCTCCAGGTGGCTGATGTACTCGGTGCCTTGCTGAGGATGGTGGGAAT